CCAGAGTTGAGTACATGGCCACCTCTAATGCTGTTCAGAATTTGAGAAATACCGTGCTACAGCCACCAGAGTTGAAATGACTTTGGAAGTAGCCTGACACATGGCAGCCAAGACCCTAGGTCTAAGTCAGTGATTCCCAACTGGGGAAGGTTTTGTCCCTCAGAGGAGATGTGGCAATGTCTGGAAATGTTTGTGATTGTCACACAAGAGGTACCTGGGAGGGCAGAAATGCTTCTAAGTGTTTGATAACGCACAGGACAGCCCTTCACAACAAGGATTTAGCCTAAAATGTCAGTAGTGCCAGAGTTGGAAAACCTGGCTCTGAAGGTAATTGAAGTGAGCTGACACTTGTAATCTACTATAGATCTTTTACAACGGCAGAAGCTTTAACCTGATCTTCTTTTACTCTTTTACTTTGAACTGTATTTGGTACATTAAGGAGTTGGAGTATAATCACCCTTGGATTGTCTACAGAGGTAGCCCAGTTGAAAAAAGGATGAGAGGAATGATTCTGCTGTATCTTTCATTTAGACTATACCAAGCATTTTTTGTTAGAATATTGTTACTGCTGTTAAGAATATTTTCTCTTTTTTTAATGTTTGTTTGTTTTTGAGAGGTAGAGAGAGAGAACACAAGCCAGGGAGAGGCAGAGAGAGAGAGGGAGACAGAGAATCCAAAGCAGGCTCTGAGCTGTCAGCGCAGAGCCCAAATCGGGGCTTGCACTCACAAACCATGAGATCGTGATTGGAGCCGAAGTCGGACACTTAACCACCTGAGCCACCAGGCACCCCAAGAATATTTTCTATGTTATGATTTCACTCTCCTTCTCCCCCTGTCCTCCCCATTAGGCTCACTTACCCACGGCCCCTCCTCACTCAGCCATAGAAGCTCTTAGCAGAGAAGAGAAGGGAATTTGGCTAATTAGATTAGACATGGTCCCTTAAGCTTTCTCCCCTTACTTGTGAGAGTTGATTCTGTTGTTTTGATGGGAAATGACCTTGTGCTAACCTTGAGGTGCTGTCTTAAGCCCTAGTATTAAACTGTCTCCTTTTTAGCCACTGCTCCATTCCTCTATCTGTAGCTATTTCAGACCAGGTTCTTGTGAACACGGATAGACTTGCACTCCCAGTGTAATGAAAAGCCCTAATCTCCACATCCTCCCTCCTTCCATGTCTGGCATCAAAGAAGCTCATGAATATCTCAGTGTCAATCTGTTGTTGCTTCTTTCTCACTTTATTGGCTATTTCTGGGCCCACTAGTAAGGCTGCCATGTGCTCTGAATCATTCAGAGATGGCCTCATAGAACAGACCTGGTTTGGCTTTTTTTCTTCTTCTTTTTACTGGGGAAAAGGTAGGATGGTAGGAGGAGATATCTCTAAATCAAATAACAGAACTGGAATAGTAGTAGAAAATAAAACCAATGCTATTTGTGGATGTTCACTACCATATTTATTTTAGCATATTTACCTCATGCATCTTGAATTACATAAACAATAACATTTGTATTTAGTAAATGAATTCTTATAAATAATTTATAATAAATAGACTGAGAGATATGTGTTTGTGTCCACCTTGAAACTTCAGATTTCTGTTAGCATAATAGTAAGTGGTACCAGCAGATTCCAGAAACTGATACTGGAAAAGCTCCTGTGGTACCTTGGACTTCAGACACATGCATTCCATTCCTTTTGCTTCAAGAGAACTATAGGGATACAGATTTCTTTTTAACTTTCCCACTTGTAAGTTAGGAATAGAAAGACACATGTGGAATAGAGAGATGAAGGGAACTAATAAGCTAAGGCATTAGTCTCTCTTTTAATTTTCCAGTGCTTAATCTCTTCACGTTCTCTAGCCCGGTTTCAGAGTGAACAGACCAATATGAAGGGAATCAGTAAGACTAGATAAAGCACTGTGGTGGTATGTGTAGAGCTCTACTCTGGAGAAGGATGATGGAATAAGAGGAAGGGAAAATGGGGATGGAAAGGGGAGAAGAGATCATTGGATGAAGAAACCCCTGCCTTCTTTGTTGTCATCAGTTGTTGGTTCTGTGCTAGGTGTTAGGCAAGGTAAATGATACAGAATCCCTGAATCTGGTCATTTACAACTTAAGAAAGGCATTTTGTGTAATAATAAAGCATGCCTTAGAAATTGTTCTAAAGCTCACAGATTTTTTCTGTTCTGTCTGAGGCGCAGGGCAATTTGGGTGGTGGTAGTAGTCGGCACTGGTCATTTTCTTGGTTTTGGCTTTATGATTTTTTTTCCTTCTACCTTGGGATGCTCATCATTCACAATAAGATACCATATCTCAGGAGTTCTGTGAGCACGAAAGGTTTCGCTGCCCTGCCTCTTTTCCGTGGGCTATCTGGGGCTAGGAAATGAAACATGGCTAACCCTAGATGTCCAGGAGAAAGCCTGTTTTCTTAGAGGAAGAGAGGTAGGAGGAACCTGGGCAAGAGGAGAATCTTGAAAAGGGTGAATGTTTAAATCTGCGTGGTACAAGTGTGTGTGGTTGGTGTCTTTTACCTTCAGGGTATGAAGAAGCCTGAGGGTAAGAGAAACCACAGCACCTTGCAGGTAGAAGCCACTTTGTACATTACATTCCTCTTTTTAGACATGCAGTTTGTTTCGTTTCCACCAATTTGTACAAGTCCTATACTTTCTCATATTCCTTACATTCCTGGGAATAACTTGTTGATCACTTCTGTGCCTCAGGGTTTATAGTGCTTGACAGTTTCTTTATCAGCAGTTGACATTTACTTGGAGACGTTAGTTCTCTTTGTCAGTTCCACTTAGCTCCCACAACTTGAGTTGACTCACTGACTCATCCTCATCATCAAGGGCCTTATTTTTACTTTTCCCTACTTTGTTTCTCCTTCCCAACATTCCCATTTAGGGTTTGATAAGTTGTAGTTCTATAGATTTGTATACATTTATACACTTATGTGCCAAAATTTGTTTTGCACCCAGCGGGTATGCTTGAGTCACGAAGTCACAATGGAAGAGAACAAAAAGGACATCCTTGCCATAATGCAGTGGTGCAAGGGCCTGTTCCTATCAGGTGAATTAAGGTTAATTCAAAACAATCAGACTCCTATATTGTAAGACGTGCCCAGAAGATGACCGAGGTCCCCAGATTTACTGTTCAGTATTCTGCTCTAAGAAGGGTTGAGCAGATGCTGAGATAGATACCTTTGAAGAGTGGAGTCACAGGCATCGCTGGCCCCAGAGAACAAGAATAAGGGTACACTGGCTTATGTGCAAATGGGAATGAGAAGCTGAGCTAGAACTAATTCCAGGCAAAGGTTTCTGGTTTAAGATTCTCCTGGCTTTTTTGGAGGACTTCAAGATTTTGGTTTTCACTCCAATGAAACCAGTTGCTCAGATGAGACCCTAGTGCACATCATTCACCTTAGCAGAAGTCACACAAGTATTTGTGGCCTGAGGTGAAGAACGAGAGTTGGGTCACTTGATTCCCTGCAGATAATCTGATCAGGCCATTGCATATACCTCCCTTTGCTGACCCTTTTCTATAAACAGGAACAGAAATTCTTGCTACTGGATCCCTTTCATCAGGCGTCTTAGGCTCGCTGAATGAAAAGCCCTATAAAAAGGAGATGCAGCCTAATAATATCAAATACGACCGTGATGGCTATTTTGGGCAAGAGCAGCTTTGTGCCGCTCTTGATCTCCATCGGTGTCTGCCATTCCTGCCCTGCCATTACCTTTCAGACTTCCTATTCTTAGAATCATTTGTGAGCCCTCGGCTTGGGGGATTGCAGCCCCCAAGGCTGGAATGCCTAGCTTGAGTGGAATGCAGACTGTCTGGCAGAGTGGAGGTTAAATAAAGTTTGCCTTGGCAGCCCCCTCTGCTCTTGGATGGGCGACAAGTAACTCGGGTATAGGAGAAATGGCATGAGCTGCCATGTGGTGCAGGACCAAATAGAGTAGAAGTGGTTGATGGTCCATCCGTTAGAATCATAGCCTTGTCAGGCTCAGCCCTGCTCCATACTGAGGAGACTTGGCAGGCTTGAACCTCAGCTAGTAACCATATTGCTCTGAAGAAATGCAGGAACAAATAAAGAATAAGGGTGAAATGACTGCAGGAACTGCAGATTTAGTATGTTTGCCCCCTGAGAGTTATTGCCTCATTTTTGAATGTGAGATAAAGGGGGAAATTTTCATTGTAATAAGAACTATCGCTAGTCAATCAACAGGCCTTTCTTGAGCACCAGGACACTGTGGGAAACTTTTTAAAAGTATAAGACATATAGAAATCTTGTGGTGCTTATACTTTAGTTGGAAAAGTAAAGCTGTAAGCACATGAGAAAATAATTTATATTCTAGAGTAAATTATTAGTTCCAAATCTGTACTGTAGAACTAAGTGCTGAAGGAAGTCTAAGAGGAAAGAGAACGCTTCTAGCTGGAATGGTCAAGAAAAATTTTGTGGAGGAGGTGGGGTTAAGCAGGTCTTGCTAGGATGGCAGACTTGTACTGGAAAGAAGAGGGCCTTGTCAGTGAGCAGACTGTTACGAGCAAAAGATGGATGTAGGACACTCTTAGAACAGCTCATAGGTCCATGAAGAGCCTGGATGTGCCACACCCTGGATGTGGACAGGGTGGCAAAGGAGAGGGATTTATCTAAAATCACCAAACCCTTAGCTGGAAAGGCAGCATGTGCACATTGCTGAGAAATGACAGAACTTCCCACTAGAAGACAGTTAGAAAGCTCCAGCCCTGCCAGATACTGGGGCCCTCCTAGTTCTCTGTTCTGTGCAACCTCTAATACAACATGCAGTTCCTATCGGACACACAGTAAATAACAGTATTATTACTATTACTCATCTTCAAAGTCTGTGGTGCCGAGTTATTAAATTGGCTGGGTTTCATTTGTGAGAGTTGCCACTGCCTTCGCTTTGCTCTGTGCTGATTGCTCACATGATTCACACCTTTCTGCAGTCCTTCCTTCAAATTTATCTGACCATTCTCTCTTCCACCACAGGTGGCTGGAGGTGCAAGTGGCTAATCTAACATGTCCACAACGCTGGGTGCAGTACCTCCGACTTCTTCAGGAGTCCATCTGGCCTGGTGGGGTTTTGCCTAAGTATCCACGGCCTGTAAGGACCCAGGAGCAGAAAGTGGCTGCTGAAAAACAGGCTTTGCAGAGCCTGATGGGAATCCTGCCAGGTAATTGGATGATGAAATAAGTTATACTGATGATTAGTCCTTTCTCATCTGGCTTTGCAACCATTACCCCACACCCCTTCCCATTTTTAAAAGGGCTTAAATGTGATTAGACTGTTGACCCACCATTTCTCAGGCCAACAGGAAAATGATCGAGGCCGCAATTCTTTTATCCCTCATTCAAGTGATGCTGAGGGAATAGAAGGAATCACTGAGACCACACCGTAAATAGTAGGTGAGAATCCTGCAGATACTTGAGATAATAACAGCTCTGCCTACACCACAGAGTCAGGTCTCAGAACTGTTCCCACCAGATGAAGACCTCAGGTTCTCTGCCAATTCATGGTTTTTGGACTAGGGAAGAAAATGATATGTGCCATAGAAGCTTGGCCTTGATAAATTGGGGTCATTGAATAAAGTACCTGGTTATTAGCAGTAGATAAAAACAAACTCTGGAGAGGACTTTTTTTCCTTTACTTTCTATGGACTTTTAGAAGGCAGGAAAGGCAGTTTGTTGCCTGTCGCTATGCTGTGGTAACCAGGGTACAGTAGTAAACTCTTAACTCTTAAAACAATTTTATATACTCTATTAACCTCTGCTCTCCACCCTAAACTGTTACATCAGAAGTACCTGCACTTTAGGGGTGCCTGGGTGGCTCAGTAGTTTGAGTGTCTGCCTGTTGATTTCGGCACAGGTTATGATCCCAGGGTCGTAGGATCAAGCCCCACATCGGGCTCCATGCTGAGAGTGGAGCCTGCTTAAGATTCTCTCTCTCTCTGTCTCTCTCTCTCTCTCTCTCTCTCTCTGTCTCTCTCTCTGTCTGCCCCTCCCCTACTCATGCATATGCTCTATCTCTCTCTCTCTCTTAAAAAAAAAAATCCTGCACTTTAATGATTGGTTACAGAATTATTTCTTGAGGCCCATTCTTATTTAAACACTTGAGAAACATTTCTCTTAGCTTTTCCCTGTTTTAGTTTGACTATGTAGTTCAGAAGTTTGCCAGAAATACCTACTTTGAATAAAGATGGCAGATATCATGAGATAATCTCCTTAGAATCTAAGGCTTCCACGGTAGCACTGAAACCACATCTGCTTTTTCCTCTTCAGATATTGTAGTAGAAATCCTGGGGGTGAACAAATGCCAGCTGAGCTGGAGTCTAGTCTTGGAGTCACTACAGCAACCCGTCATCAACAGGTAGGCTGAAGGCGTATGTATACACAGCATCACCACAGCTGAAGCCATCTCTGGTCTCAGAGGTGTCCACGATTTCTAAGTGTGCAACCCACATTGAGAAGAATAGAACTGCAGTCTTTGTTTGCCCTGGGCCCTGACTGCAGGGTGTGATGTCCAGATCCACACATACTAAGAAAAACCTACACTGACAGCTTCATATGTCACTGACAGGTCATATAATTTCCAGCTCTACATTCAAGGCTGCACAGCAAAGCTGAATAGTATTACAATCAGGAATTGTCTTTGCTTAATATGAAGTAGACAAGATAATAAGGTTTGGCTCTGATAAAAGGACCAGAAATATTGGGTGAATACTCCTAGAATAATCCAGAAGAGGTAGGTATTTCCCTGGCTGGTGCCTTGGGATATAGTGCTTCTGAAAAGTATTTAGGACTTCCAGTCCTTTCTCAAACCCTGTCCCAAAGCAGACTGCATCAATTAACTCTCACTACTTAAGGGCCCTGGCTTTTGCTTCATTGCCTGTGAGGTCACCCATAGATCTATGATGATTAATTATGAGAAACAGCCATAGTCAGAAGCTCTGAAAATTCTTAGTAAGTTGATATCACAAATATTTTCCCTACTTCACAGTTTTTCAGAGTAGTGCTGATCTGCTAATGCAGCTATATAAATAAATGTGGAGTTTCCTAAAATCTAGTCTCAAGTTCTATTTCTACCTCTCTTGCAGTCATAACCTTTATTCGCAAACTTTTATTTCATGGTGGAGGCTTCATCAAGCTATTGAAATTTAGAGTTCACTAAGAATATCAGTAATGGGCAAGGAGGGGAAGGGAGAATAAATGTCATAAACAGGGATCTGGTGTCTGTTGACCGAGCCAGACCCTCCTCTAAGTTGTTTTGTCCATTTGTTTCAGGCATTTGATTTACTGCCTTTGGGACATCATCCTGGAATTCTTGGATCTCAGTGCCTCTGTTGAGGAGTCTACCGTAACCACCTCTGCCTCAGATACCCCAGGCAACCCCAGGAGAATGGGTGTCTCCCCTTAGCCATAGGTTATTTGCTCATTCTTTGAAGGCTAGGAAAGGAGAGTTGTTCTCCCACCCCATGACCAGTCAGGAAACCTGTGCTCTCTGAAACTGGGCTGTAACTCAGAAGGGGCACAGTTCTTCCCTAGCTCTACTCCATTTGTAGCAGGTGATGGGAGAAATATGTACCAATCACATGCGTATCCATTTCCATACCTTTTTTTGTAATGTTTGGATTGTTACTAGTGGAAAAGGAATCCGTGAGGTAGAAGAATGAGCCCCTTTTGCCTCCTCTTTGCCCTCCTTCCTAAGGTTGTTTGACAGGAGCCTGGCCCTGTATATATATGTTCCTAATCCATTAATACAAGTTGTAGATAGACCAAGAGAAAACTGGTAACCAGATTTCTTGGAGGAGTAGACAATCTTCTAGAGCTCTCTGTTCCCACTGAGAAACTGAAAATTCATTCAGGTCCACCCTTGAAAGCCAGATCCTCTGAGTTCTATCTAGTTTCTCAACAATTCCAGAAGAAGGAGGGAAAACATTTCTCAAGGGACTTTTTGCTGATGGGCTATTTCCCAACACATCAGTCCTAGGGAGGATATCATTGAAGGCTGCTTCCATGGGTGGCTACACTTTTCCTGTTCAGAAGACTTCAAAGTGGACTGCTAAAGCTTCTGGGTAGATCCACCCCATCCTCCACACCCTTTCCTGAAAGGAGTTGCATCAGATTTTATTTATTAGCTTTCCTCCTAACCCCTCTCCAAGAACAGTTGAGTTTTGGTCTTTGTGAACTTCTCTCTGTCTTCCTTCAGCAGAATCATATGGCAAGTTGCTTAGTCAGCCCAGTGCTTCCAAAGGGAAGGGAAAGGTTTGCTCCTGCTCTGTGCCTGGGAATGTGCCCAAAGAGGAGGGAACCCAGGGGAAGTACAGGGCTTCTCTTTTCACAGGTAGGGGACTTTTAACTTGAACCAATAATATTAGCAAACCTGCAATGGATTGATTACCACAAAATGCTTTAAACAGGAAGTACTGTTCTTTAAGATTATAATTAGCCTTTAGGAACACTTGAAGATGGAGGCAAAGGTACTATATCAGACACTAGTGTCTTAGAAGAATGGAACAATTAAGAGAAATTGGTAGGAAAGAGGCAGACAGAAAGTCACAAGGGAAGTACTATACATTAAATTCATGTGAGTAGCTGACAGGGTTTAAGGGGGTCACTAGGAGACCTTTGCCCCCCCCATCCCTTTAGCTTTGCACTTGCCTATTAGTGCCCTGCTGTCACTGAATTATGGATCCTCCCATTTAGAAGGGGATCTTGGGGTAAGACAGCAAGGAGATGGATCTAGAACAAGTGTCAGTTTCCCTTAGACTCTGAAGTAGATGATGTACACAAAATTAAAGTGGTTTATGGGAGAAAGTTGTGTAATCTTTTACTTTTTTTTTTTTTCAAATACCCCTTGGGAGGCTTTTACCTATAAAATGTGTTCTGTTGTAATCAGAAGGCTTTAGTTAGGCTATTATTGCCTAAGGACAAGGAGATGAATGAGATCATGTCTCATGGCACCTTCTAGCCTTAAAATTTGATTGTTACAGCGACTTTATGGCTCCAAAACTTCTTTTGCCCTGGACACTCACAGGCAGAAAGAACTCAGCATTTCTAGCTTTAGTAATTACGTATTTTCAGGATTACAGGGGTTCCAGTCTCACATATTGAAGTGGATCCTTCACCTTTTTCAACTATAGGGCCGGATGCTCTTTGGGATAGGTACAGGTGGCCAGCTCATTTCTGCTACCCTTCTCTCTTCATACTTTACCCTCACAGGTACTTAGCCACCTATATTGCTTGGAATCTCTGCTACTAGTTCTGGCTCAGATGTCATACAAAGCCAGTCCATAAGCTGACACACCATAAAATCCTTGTGGCTGTAACATCTAAGGAATCTTTTGACACTGCCATTGTATTTCATTTTACGTAAGAGATCCCATCCCTGTTTTCTATGTCCCAAAACATGAATTGTCTTCAGATCGTCCTGCCCAGAAGGGAAATAATGGATATCACCAAGGAAATCATCAAAGCCCATCTGATCTTGAAATAACCTGTCAAGTTTGGGTAGAAGGGACAGACTGCAAGGGAGATCAGCATTTGGGAGAGAGCCACAGGTATCAGGAAAAGTTGCTGTTGGCTGAATGATAAAAGGCAATGAAAAATTGGGTCTGCACTAACCCAGAACATTCCTGAATTTTCTTTTGCCCTACCCAGCACGTTCATTTCCAGTTGCTCCTAATACCCAACAGCAGTTATTAGGTTCTGGGTGGAGTAAAATATGTATAAACATGGTCCCTGGCTATATGAGTCAGGATGCTTTGGACTGAAAGGAAACTAATAGGAAAATTTATTTTCTTCCATAAGATCAGTACCTGAGTAGGTAAGCCACAGGGATTGATGGATTCAGCAACTCTGACCCCATAAAGGGCCCAGAATATTCCCATCTTTCTTTTCTGCCACCATAAACATGTTTTTTCTGTTCTCAGACTGCCTTCCTTCATGGTTGCTGCAGTTTGGGGCATCACATTCATACATAAAATGTGAAAGAACAGGGGCACCTCTTCCATCTGTTTTCTTTTCTTTTCTTTTCTTTTCTTTTCTTTTCTTTTCTTTTCTTTTCTTTTCTTTTTTCTTTTCTTTTCTTTTCTTTTCTTTTTTTTAACATTTATTTATTTTTGAGAGAGCACAAGTCAAGGAGGGGCAGAGAGAGAAGGAGACACAATCCCAAGCAGGCTCCAGGCTCTGAGCTGTCAGCACAGAGCTTGACCAGGGCTCAAACTCACAAACTGTGAGATCATGAGCTGAGCCAAGGTTGGATGCTCAACTATCTGAGCCACCCAGGCACCCCCATGTTTTCTTTTAAAGAATGAAGAAACCTTTTCCCAGAAGTCCTTCAAGAATGCTCATGACTCACTGGCCAGAACTGTTCACCCTGAGCCAGTCCACGGTCACTGAAAATGGCATTACCTGGTTGGCTTGCAATAGTATTTACCCCACCAGAGAGGAGATCACCCCCCAGGAAAGTTAATACCTAAAAAAACCATTAGATGTTAGCAAGGAAGAAACGGAGAATGTGTGTTAATAGTATTCTATCATCTGTTACAACATCAACAAACCCCCATGGCACTAAAAATATATAGTACCAGGTAAGAGAGAATATTTGCTGAAGGCACCACTTGGAGCACTTCATCTACATTAACTTATTTAATCAACCTTGTAAAGTAGGTTCTGTTATATGTCCCCGTTTTATAGATGAGGAACACAAGGCACAGAGAGATTGTGAGTTGCCCAGTCACTTGCAAGGAAATGGCAGAGCCTAGATACAGATCTTGCCAGTCTACCCTCAACCCTACATGCATAACCATTACACTAGTCTATGTTTCTTTTTACAAAGCAAAATAAGACCAGGTTCTCACTTTTAAGGAGCTTACAATCTAGTAAAGAAGTGTGCAAACTTTTCGGTAAAGGAGCAGAGAATGAATACAGGCTTTGTGGCCATATGGTGGTCTCTTTTGCAACTACTGAGCTCTTCCATTGTAGCACAAAAGCAGCCATAGACAATACATACAGAAATGACTGTGGCTATGTTCCAACAAAACTTTATTTACAAAAACAGGTAGCTGACCAGATGTGGCCCATGAGTCATTTGCAGACCTCCTGTCTAATGAGTTAGAACAGTGCTTATCAAACTTCAATGTCCGTGTGATTCAGCTGGGATCTTGTTAAAGAATATGCTGCATTTTTTTTTTTAATTTTTTTTTTCAGCATTTATTTATTTTTCGGACAGAGAGAGACAGAGCATGAACGGGGGAGGGGCAGAGAGAGAGGGAGACACAGAATCGGAAACAGGCTCCAGGCTCTGAGCCATCAGCCCAGAGCCTGACGCGGGGCTCGAACTCCCAGAACGCGAGATCGTGACCTGGCTGAAGTCGGACGCTCAACCGACTGCGCCACCCAGACGCCCCTATGCTGCATTTTTAACAAGCTCCCCAATATATGCCATTGAGAATGTGGATCTTCTACCACATGCTGAGTATCAAGGGATTAGAACATGGGCAACTCTTCATCGAGTGTGATTAATCCACTACTAAATATTTAGGAAGGGCACTTAATTGAGAGTGGAGGACCAAGGAAAGCCTGAGATAATAATATCTGAATTGACTCCTGAAAGATTCATGAGAATTAGCCAGTGAAAACATGGGGAAAGTGTCCAGATGGAGGGAACAATGTGTGCAAAGACAGTCATCACAGGAAGACAAATAACATCATCCCGTGTATCCAAGGTACCTAGAGTGGTCAGCCTCACAGAAACAGTAGAAATGTGGTTGTCGGGGACTAGAGAGGAGGATGGGGAGTGTGTAATGGGTACGGGGTGTTAGTGTTAGAAAATGAAAAGTCCTGGGGATCTGGTTTACAACAGTATCAGTTGATGTGACACTACTGAGCTGTACACTGAAAGTGGGTAAGATGGCAAATTTTACATTATGTGTGTTTTACTACAATCAAGAAATTTAAAGTTAAAGCCATGGAGAGCTACAAGTGGCACAGCACAGTGGGAGCGCAGGCTGCGGGGAGGGGGATGGAGAGAGGGGGTGCTGGGAGAGGGCCTGTCTAGTGTGACATGCTCAGGAACCTGGTGCTATTCTCCCTCTACACAGTGGGGAATTGTTGAGGAATCTTCCAGAGGAGTATTTCTCATCAAAATTAACAGTTCCTGCTTACGGGACACATGGTGGTATAAAAGGTAAACAGCCTTTCTTAGTCCTGCCCCTTGGATTTGACCCCTGTCTCCGTCACCTTCTGACCCTCCTTAATTTCTTCGAGTCTGTTCCTACTCTTTCTTACATATAAGGTGGCTTCAGGATCTATAGAGTATAATGAGCTGAAGTGACAACAGCCTGACTGAAACCTAGCTCTGTCACTTAATCAGCTGTGAAGATGTGGTCAGGTAACTTAGCTTCACTGAGACTTAAATTTCTCTCTCAGAAAAAGGGACAAATACAACCATTTTGAGAAGTGAATTGTAAGAACAAGCTTTATAAAACACAAGAGCTATGCTATAGAAACATCAGTGGTGTTATTATCCTGCTGTCCTGCTGTCTAAGGGACAGTTGGAGATGCCTTGCTTCACGTACCATGGAGCCACACTGTCCTCTAGCAAGCCTCAGTTCCCCAGCCCTCTAAGAACCTGGTCTTCTTTGCACTGGGGCAATATGTGTTTTCCCAGGAGGAGGAAAGGAAGGTTAGCCAACCCTGCTGGATGCAAATGGGAATGGGAACCAACCAGGAGCAGGAGTGGTTAATTGGGGAGGAAAGGAAACCATGATGCTTTTGTAGTTAAAGGCCCAACTGGGCAAGCTCTTCCATCACTTGGCATCTCCATTTCCTTTCCACTGAGAGTGCCAGAAATAACAGGGCAGTAGTTGCTTTCACTGCCTTTGTGGACAAGAGAATGAAACCATTGCAGGGGGAATTTCTGCTAACAAACCCCCACCATTCTGTGGTGTAAAGGATGAGAAATGCTACACACAGCAGTGTTTCTCAGAAGACAGCCAATAAGGGGAGACTACCCCAAATACTACTTCCATAGCCTAAGACTTGTCCAGTATTTATTACACAAAGACATCACTGGCCTGTTTAAAAAAGAAAGAAAAAAAAAAAATGTGTTGAGCAAGTGAAAATCATCAGAGCTGTTTTCCTGTAGTGACCTAACAGCAACAGGGTTGGAAGCCGGGGCAATGCTGATTTGGCGGAGGAAATGCGGGCACTGACAGCCACCTTGGCAGATACACTGTGCTATTCTCAGACTTGCCGAGCCTTCTTGCCGCCTCCCTACATCTCTCACCTGTCTCTGGTCTGAGAATGCACTTGAACTCTGCTTTCTTGGAAATGAAAAGAAGCATGCAGCTGTATCCAGAGAACTCCTGTCTGATGTCTGTTCCACATGACAAAATCTGTTTTCTCTCCACATCTTGACTCTTCAAACCTTACCTACAAGTGCTTCTGTAGAAGTCACTAGCACACTGTTTCTGGGATGTGGAAGTTTGGGAAGGAAAAAAATAATATCAGTATCAGGATCCAAACTTAGAACTAACATTTCTTTAAGTGACAATTATCTACTCGTTTTAACTCAAAATAGACCTCCTTGTTACCAGAATTTGTTTAGGAACTGCAAGCTAATTGTAGTATTAGGGTGTTGTAATGATTAAGAAGGTCAGTCTGTGTCAGATATCTAAATTCCTACTTTGGCTTTTTTTTTCCCCCTTCCCCTTATGTTCCGTATGACTGTTGCAGCCTATTATTATGAGCAATGGAGAGCTATAGCTATAATTGTACTTTCAGACACTTGCATTCATCAATGAGGGCAAAGGCCAAACAAGATTAACCCACAAGTCTGTGATTGCAAAGAAAGGCTCTAGTATGTCTGCAGAAGCTGTGACTTCTCTGTTCTGGGTTGCCTTGGATTTGGGCATCTTCAAGCTCAGGTGATTGGCCCTTTTGCCTGTGCACCGTTGTTGGAGAATCATCCTGCCCCAGTAGCATCAGAAAGATTAGCAAAGATTTAGCAAAATGTCTGCATTTCATATCTTGCCTTTAGGGAGGATTGACCTTATTAAGAAAAAAAAAAAAAAACTTAAAAAGTCCTTCTGGAGTTTACATTCTTTACCAATACTAACAGGGAGTCCAAATTCAAACTAATGGCAAGCCAGTTCCTTTCCAGCTTCCTGTACTTGTGGCAAAAGTTTGCCTCCTGTCATCTGTAAACACAAATGATTCAAGAATACTGAGGGTACCTTTCATTAAGGCTTCATATGGCTCTGGGAGAGTCACGTGGGCTTGGTTGGCAATAGGACTTCTGCTGGGAAAGAGAATGTATTATGGAGATGGTTTCGCAGAAGGTTGGATGAGATGGCTTCCCAGAAATCTAGGGGCCTGCATCCTGTTCTCTCCAGCTTCTGTCCTTTGGCCCTGTTCTTTCATCCAGCTGTGCATAGGTGGGCACCCTCTGTCAAGGCCAATTCAAGTTTCACCTTCTCCAAGGAGCTTTATCTGATTGTGCCAATCAAAATTCTTTCTCCTTCTGAGTTACTTACACTTCTCAATGTGATCAAGGTCAATGTGCATTTTATGGGGTCCTCAGTAAGAGATGAATTCTTCAAGGGCAAGAAACATATATCCATTTTATTCCCATTATATCCCTATGCTTCAGCCTCCCCATAGGTAGTGCATAATAGATACAAAATAATAAATACTGAGGCTTATTTAACTAAAGAAGATTATGCTTGTAATACTTTTAGAAGGTAAAATATATTAATAAATTAAAGAGTTTACTGGGCACAGAGATGTGAGAGAGGGACAAAGGGGAAGCACATTTTCATTTTTCTGACCTTATATCTTTATTCAATAGCAAATATAAAATGAAAGAAGTTGGTTTTTATATTTCCCATGCCAAAATCCACACAGTTTTATAACAGTACTGTTTGCAGTCTATGTGGACCATAAGGTGCTAAAACTGTAAGCTTTTTAAAGAAAATTAGTCCCGATTTGAAGATATTTTTAAAATCCTCCAGTCACAAAAGTACAAAACATACCCTGTCTACTTTCTAGTCCCCACCTTCACCTACTGGATCAGAAAACAAAACAAACAATCACAGGAAATATTCTCAACTCTTTCCTGCCCCAGACACAAATTTGTAAGAAAACAATTACCATGAAGAGAACGATTGGTTTGCTACCTGACTGCTCTAAAATAATCTTGGAAATCCTTTGGTCCCAGATTTAAAATTCTTTACTTCAGACCTTCTCTAACAGCATATCTAAGCCATGTCTAAGATCCTACAAGGAAAACTCTTCAAAGACAAAGTAATAACCTTGAAGAAAAGAAAGGATAGCATAAATTCCTCGTTCTTACAGGTGTTTGCTATCTTCCCCACCACATTTCCTGCTGCAACTATTTGCCCAAACACAACAGATCAAAACTAGGCAGCTGCCATAGGAATGAAAACCAACGAATCTAAGACATCTGGATTAACGGCAAGACAACATGTTGGCCCTGAGGGGATAAAATCACCTGCTGTTTTGGGGGCCCCAGAAAGGGCCTCCAGGCCATGATTTGAAAGAGGGCAACAGCAGGTAAAGGAGCACAGGGGGAAGAAGTTCAGTCTGAGAATTAAAACAATGATGTATTTCATGAAAAGAAGGAAACTCTAGACAATATAGTGCTTGGGTCATATATTATCTTAGACTAGGTCTGCATAAAAAGGATCCCATCTGTATGGAATGAAGTTCATTCTGGTGCCAGTTAACATTTGCACAACACATGATGTGGAATAGTCTCTGGAGCCAAGATTGGTTCTGTATCCACCCAGGGGCAGGTTGGTCACTCTCCAGTGTAAACCTCCTTGGGATTAACCACTTATTCCAGTGTTGTGCGCTGCATAATTAATACCAGATCAGTTCCAGACAGCTTTGTACATCCTGCATATGGATGAAGACCCAAAAAATTTTTTTGGTGATCTGTTTGGATGAGATAGAGAAAGGTGTTGTTCTAATGTTTGAAGCAGAAGTCATCCCCATGTACAGGGGTTTACCTTGCACAGATGGGGGCTCGTGGGTGGCATGTGACATTTACCAGAAAGGAGCTTGTCTGGACAAGTAAGAGGGGTGATAAGTGTGCATGTGTGGATACAGAAGTAACATCTGAGGCATTAATGCTTCAAGAGCAGAGCTATACACCTTCTTTTAGCAATCTGGAGAGGATTGAGGCAAGAGCTTGTGTTTCAGCAAGGTTTTGGATATGGAAGAATGCCCACTGTTGGGGTGGAATGACCTGAGTTATAAGATTAGAGTTTCTGTGGATTTTTCCCATGTAATAGAAATTTTTTTTTCTTCTAGTTTCGTTCATAGCAGGCAGCATTGGACCAATAGTTTGCCTAAGCCTATTTCTTCTCTATATTATTTCTGAAACCCTTTTCTTAAACACTAAAGTAAATAACAAGAAAAAACAAGAAACCTTTTCAAAAAACTTCATATTTCTGTCATTTCTCTTTATTGTGTGTGCAGCTCCAAAGCTGCTTTTCCTCATCTTTAATTTTTTTTCCTATGTCAGCTTACCAATCTTCATGGGTTTGACTTGGCTGCCCCACTAGTCCAGTTGTCTTTTTGATAAATTAATATGGACAGCAACTTAAGGTTCCATGGAAATCTTAAACATGATATTTCTTATACTTGACTTACAGTCGATATTCTAGGAGGAAGATTGCCCTACTGTCCCCTCCTGTGAAATCAGAATAACCACCAATCCTGAAATTAAACATTTTGATAAATTCTTTCCATGTCCCAAGCTGTTCGTACAATGTTATGGACTAAATGTTTGTGTCTTCCCAAAATTCATATGTTGAAGCCCTAGTCCCCAATGTGATGGTATTAGGAGGTGGAGCCTTTGGGAAGTAATTAGATTTAGATCAGGTAATGAGGGTGGTGCCCCATGATGGGATTAGTGCCCTTACATGAAGAAAAGACAACACAGTTTTCTCTTTCCTCATGCACATGAAGAACAGGTCATGTGAGCACATAGTGAGAAGATGGGACACCTGCAAACCAAGAGCAGAGGCTTTAGAAGGAAACCCACCTGTGGGCATCTTGATCTTGGACTTCCAGCCTCCAGAACCGTGAGAAATAAATTGCTATTGTTCAAGTCACCCAGTGTGTGGTATTTTCTTATGGCAGCTCAAGCTAAGATACACAACTAAACAGTTTAGTCATGTAAATCTCTTACCCTGATTTTAAGTCCAGATTCTGAGACTCAAGAGAATTTAGGGACTTTCTGAACCCTCCATGGAAAATCTGTTGTAAAAACTGTTCAGGCGCTAAAAAAAATATAAAAACTGCCTCTGAGTATATTGCTAAAGCTCTCCTCTCCCTCAAATTACTTCTGTGAGCTTTCCCTCCTGGAGAAACTTTCTGAAAACTAGTGACTAAGTGCTCAGATGGGAAGGAGGATAGGTGAAAGGCAAAACACTATTGCTAATTGCATCTGTTGTTCATAGTACTTACTATATGCCTTTTACCTACCCACACTGATAAGCAATATGTAATAAAGAAGCTCCTTTTCAAAAAATAAAATGTAATTAAAAGTTTCTCTTAAGTTGGCTGGACTCAGCACAACTTGCTTGAAACATACCCAGCTAGCTTCATTGAGAAGCACCTAAAATGTCCATTCTAACCTGTGCCTTATCAGATGGCTGCCTGTCTTCCTAACTGAGCTGTAAACCCCTTGAAGCTGATTGTCATGTTTATTACAGTCTCTCCAGCATTAAGCATTACACCATGGCACCTCCCTATTTTCTCCTTATGCTGTCATCTCATAGATTCTCAGAAAGCTTGTCAAGTTCCTCTGTCCTCTCCACATAAGCTTGTGACAGACTTTGCCTGTACACAGTTGCTTGATCCATAAATGAACTTGGCAGCCTTCTTGTGTCAATGAGTAACAGTTTTCTTTCCTTCTGGTAGTCTTGGAATCCTTATTGCCATCTGGCAATTTTCTTTCCATCTTCCTACACACAAAATAGAGCAAAACCCACTTGACTAACCCAAGTTCCATGTAAGCAAAGGTGGGGCCTTTGGCCTGTGTCTGGCCCCGACCTCCCCTCTGCCATCAAAGTATACCAACTTCTCAGTTTGATACCAGAGAGGGTATCTTGTGTGAATTTTGTAGTGGCAGCAGGCTTCATCTGAACCTTGGGGACTCCTGTGGGCCTGTTGCCATGGTAACCAGCCACCACCTGACTCTAACACCCTTTAAGACTGTCTGATCTGAGGTGGAAATGTCCCAAGAAGCAGACCCCACACTGACAGCTCTTAAACACATGACCCATCTCATAAGCACATAGCCAGCTGGAACTTCTTGGTTGCTGGGGCGAAGGAGCCTCTTTATCACCACAGGAGGAATCAGATGAATTCTGGGCTCAAAAAAGGGTTTTGCTTTTTCCCCCCTAACAGACATACTCTCCAATCCCCAACCTAGCTTGTGGTGAAAGGGCTTCCCCCCTTTCTTATTACATTATGCGTTGTTCAAAATGCTGAGCAAAAGTGGGAGGGAGCCATAACACTAAAGGATTTGAAGTATCTTCCTGTCTGTGGGGGAAGTCTCTGCCCTCAGTGTGGGAAAAGAGAAGGCAGAGAAGGAGGGGAGCAGAAAGTCAGCCTCCTGGGATGCATTGTTGTAATTGATTGTTTCAGCTCACAGGAACACACAGCATCATAAATGGGAGCAGATTTCAATCTTAAAGGGCAGTACTCCTTCCCACAGGAAAACAGGTGATTAATAGTATCCATGAGGCCCATATAGATGGTGCCTGTTCAACTCTTCAGGCATGTAAAGGCAGAGAAATAAACATTCCAAAGATTAGCTTTAAAAAATGACCACTTCATTCTTTGGAATTGTCACAAGGGCATGATATGGACCTTGAACAAATTCCCAATCACCCCAAACTCAGGCAAAGAGAAGCAACAAAATGGGAAGGAACATATTTGGGCATTGAAAGAGCTGGCTTCTAGTCATGGTCACAGTGATCTTGGACAAATCTCTTTACTTTCCTGGACTGATGTTTCTTTCCTCCATACAGAAAGGTTGGACTGGATAATAGGTAATACCCTGTTCAGCTCTGCAACATCCATTAGACAGCAAAGGCTGTCTTCCAGTTTGAGACCAGTTTCTGGAACAGTGATGATGCTTTCTAAATGGTTTGTCATGAAAATGAATGAATGATTATATTTCATCTTGACTTTTATCTCAATAGAGATTTTCTTTCACTTCATTTGGGTCTCAATTTGAGGAAGGAAGGAAGGAAGGAAGGAAGGAAGGAAGGAAGGAAGGAAGGAAGAAAGGCGAGGAGGAGGAAGGCGAAGGAAGGAAGGGCGAAGGAAGGAAGGAGGGAGGAGGAATAGGGCGAAGGAGCTGAAGGAAGGGGGGGGGGGGGAAGGAAAGAAGGAAGAAAGGAGGAAAGCTGGAGTGAAGGAGGAGTGGAGGAAGGAAGGAAGGAAGGAAGGAAGGAGGGAAGGAAGGAAGGAAGCTTTGACATACTCTTTCTGAGAGGAATGTCTTGCCTTTCTCTGGGCCCTAGGATACAAAGTTCGCATCCTACATTTTCCATCTTTAAGCCTGCCAACATTAAATTGTTTAAGAATACCATACAGATTTAAGGAAAAACTACATCCCCAAATTTTCAAGGAATCCAAAGACCTATTCATCTCCAATCAACATTTCTTAGGATCATCAAAGTACACCATTTCGTTTTTCATTTTCCAGATTATTTTCTGTGAACCATCTCATTTTATCTTCTCATTATTCCTTTGAGGGATGTAATACTTGACACATATATAGGACTTTCTAAATCACAAAGTATTTCATATACAATATCTTATTTAGATCTTGAAAATCACTTTTTAAGATACTTTGGGAAGTTATTGGCATCCCCATTTTACTGAAGAGGAAGCTGAAATACACAGAGTTTGTCTCTTGCCCAAGATTCTGCCCATGTTTTCAGGAGGCAAAAGAACCAGGATTGAGAAAATGGCTCTGCTAGTAGACGTACAGGTGAGAATCCTAGCTCTGCCACTGATTAGCTCTGTGTCTGTAGGTAAATTATTTAAAATCTTCATGCCTCAGTTTCCTCATCTATTAAATTGGAATAATAATGGTACTTTCATCACAGAAACTGGATGGGGGAAGGGACTAAATGAGTTAATGCATTTAGATGCTTAGAAGAACTTCTAGCACACAAAGCATCTTAATTGTTTGTCATCATTGGCAAAACCAAGACTAGAACTTGGGTCTTCCAACTTTTAGCTCAGTGAAGTTTCTGCTGCCCTACACCAATATTATCCTTATTATACAGAAGAAAACCTAAAGCTGACAACGTTTAAGTGCAAATCTCATCCAGAGCCTCTCTTAAACAGAGAGGTCTAGAACTAATGTCTCCTGGACTCTGTTTAGTCCTTCCACCATTAAACCACGCTGCCCTCCACTGCTCTTAAGTTTTTAAAAGTTATAAACCAACCACTCTCATGCAATACTACTGACAGCCTGAAGGCAGACTCTCCCACTCCTCTGGGGAAAGGATCTTCTACCTTCAGTCTTAAGAGATCAAAGGGTTTCGGAATGCTGACTACAATGGGAGCATGCTCACTACTACCTCTAGGCCTTTTCTGGGATAGTCTCTCTTCTTTCCCTTCCAACTGTAGTTATCCTCAATACCAGATGATTCAATATTTGACCATTTTTGGCTTTCTGAGAACAAGTGTTGTTTTTTCATATTTTCATTATATACTCCTTGAGAGTGCAGACTATGTTGCATGCAGGCTTGTATTCTCTGTTGCACATGGCAAAATGCTCAGTCAATAGCAGGTACATAAACAGATCTTGATTCGTGAATTGATTGTTTGATGGACTGATAGTGTACCCTTCCAGTGGTTGGCAATTGTCCTAACCTCTTTGTTGCAAATTGAGGATGATCAGAGAATTGCCTGGATGGCATTTAATACCACAGTGACTGAGCAAGGGTTTTCTGTGGAGGGAGGAGCAGGGGCTGGGGAGGGGAGAGAGTTCCCCTTTGCTCTCACCTGGGCTGGCTTCCACAAAGCCTCAGAACCAGGCCCATGCCACTGTCTGACTGCACATTTTGTATATGGAAGACACAGACCTGAATCAGGGCTTGCCCTCTTGTCCACAGTCTGGACCCCTCATAGCACACCCAGACCAGACGTGACCTTGCTCTACAGTTAAAAACAAGTGAAAGTCATCTGCCAGGGTCACTTGGCACCAAAGTCCTGTGACAGAAGGGGCTCCACTTAAAGGGCAGCACAAATCCAGGGCATTAAAATAACCTGAATGGTGTCATTTTCTGATCAAATGCCTTTCCCTGTCGGGTTTGTGATTTTTGAGCCTGAGAATGTCCCCTCAAGGCTCAGGTTTCTCTGCTGTCACACTGGTCTCAGGCCTGGAATGTGAGTACTGGCCGTGGAGGTCTGATGTAGCTATGTCACAATCCCAAAATGGAGAGACATTATCTCATAGACAGTGGCAGCAAGCAGGCACCAGTTTGCTGCTGGCAGGCATGGTCAGAATCTGGCCCCGTGAGTATTTCTCACCCACGGTTCTCAGTGGACACACAATTTGAGGTCCAAGATGCCAATCTATGCACTAGTAAATTAGGGTCTTGCAAAGCTTCTCACCCAGGAGTAAACCCAGGAAAACATAAGCTGAGGTACAGAGAGGCTCATTTTTGTTATAAGTCCTGTTGGTTTGTAGGAGGGTGATCCCTGGTGGAGAGGCCCTGGAGTACCTGAAAGGCTTGGTCAGAATGCAGAGAGCAGCAATTCGCTAGGTGAAAGGGTACTCAAGGCAGGGCTAAGCTGCCATCCTTACTTTCCTGGGCCTGCGAGGGCAGGATTGCTGACCACAGGGCAGGTGGGGCCTGGTGGCCTATGAGGTAACCATCCCTTTCAGCACTTGGAGAGGATGAGGTCCCAAGGGGAAACCATTTCCCCTCTCATAGAGTAATAAAGGCCATCAGAGTCATAACTACTTTGATCGTGAACTATCTTTAGGGATGAAGAGAAACACC